GCCATATGTGCAAAGTTATTTTGTATGCTTGTCTACAATTTGTCAGTTTAATTGAAATGAAAATGCGCACACGCTCTTGAATTGAATGCTTACCTTGTTTGAATTGCTCGGTTGTCGTTTGATTTGTAAAGAATTACCTACCGCAAAATTTTCCCTTTTTCTTTTTAGCATTTCATTCAATTACATCTGCAGTTTAATTCTCGAACTGTATTTTTCTCGAATTAGAAAGTTACTATCACGTTAATTCTAATAATCAGCATAATCTTGGGAACTGCGAATTCGCATTGTTTGACTAATTTTCTTCATAATGAATAAGTAGAAAGGTTCATATATACCTACTTAACTAGTCTTAATTGGGCTGATTTTTTGCTACAATGAAATTTCATACACTCCTTCCGTTTCCTGATTTACTTAATATTCCATTGCCTTCTTCACCTTTCTATAAATTTAATTTATACATAATTTCTACACTAATTACGTAATAACACCCTTTCGGTAAGGTAAGGTTGATATAGGATATTCGTAACACAATAAGTAATTTAGTTTCGGAGCTCAATAATAAATTTTTATGGACATAAAGATTTTTTTGCAATTAGGATTTGCATGCGGCGAAGGCGTTTAATTATAAACAGTGGTTGTAAAAGTGCTATTACTTACAAGCATTAGCTAATTTCAATGCTTTGCATACACTTGATTCGTGTACCTTAGGAGACATGTAGGTATGTAAGTACGTAATGATGTCGCCCTACGTAATATCTCATTATTCACGTTTCATTGATGTTTATTCAGATGGGATATTGCTGTGTTCAGAGGTCGCGTTTATGCGGAGACAACCTTCAAATCGAGAAAAGTCCGGCCGAACGGAGGTGGCATTGAGCAAGACTATTCTAATGATATTTGAAGAATAATATAAATATAAAACAATCCCGTGTAAGGTTAATTACTATATCTACCGGTTATCCGTGATCAGAGTACAAAATATTGCGAATAAAATTCGATTCACGTTAAAATTCGTTTGAGAACGGTCGCTTCTTTTTCCTGATTCCGTCGTTTCGAAATTTGAAAACTACCGCGTTTTAATAAATTGTTTTAAATTATACGGCGGTTGATGTTCAACTGCAGGTTTAAGTTGTGAACGTATGCAATCATATACCATTAGCGAAATACCGTGATATTCGGAATTACCATATTTTTTGTCATCCTTGAACTTCCTCGTTAGATTCATCTTTAGTAATAATTTCCTTATATTGGTTATTCCCAAGTTATATCGATAAGAAGTGCACCGTGCAATTTTCTCGATTGTGCATGGAGAAATAACACTAATAAATTTAAATGCTGATATTTATCTTGAATTGTTTATTAAACGGTGTTTACTTTTAATAAATGCCGTTTATGTAGTAATAACATGGCTATAGTATGATTTAAATCGCTAAGTATTAAATTTCTTTTGTTGTAGATTGTCCCTTCCAATCGTAAATATTGGGTAAATTCAATTTGAGTTTTAAAAAGTGCAATCTAATTGTGTTCTTACCGAACTATTCAAGGATGACAACTTAATTTTTTAATTCAATTTGTTACTTCAAGTCTCGTATAAAAATAAATGGCTACTCTTTTACAATTATCTATCGGGCCAATATCAATTATTATAAATAATTCAATGTCATTAACAAAACATTTGCCGAGCACAAGTCTAACGTCATGCTGACCTGTATTTCGAATTCACTTTGTAGATCAGAAGTGAAATGATGCTAAAACCAGTTAAGTGCCTGTCTACAATTGATTTATAAATTGTAAAATTATTGACTACAAAAAATTAGATAGCTAATTTGATTAATGCCGACAATTTAGTAAGAACTGTTCGGCTACTTCGGTTTTTATATAAATTTTATTACCTACCTGCCATTAATTTACAAAAAAAATTAAGGTGTACCCAAGTGGTTTTGTCATTTTTTTATAAAATTTTATAAACGCTATAAATACTAAATTACACATGTATGAAAATACAATGATTTTAGAAAAACCTTTGTTCACTTAAATATGGCTTTCTACTGTCTTTACTAATTTTTTAATTGGCTATAATTAGTGATCCTCGGTAAAACTGCATACAGTAAGTTCATTTCCATGAGCGACTACCAATTTTAAAGAAAGTAAATTTGAGTGACGGTTTTCGAGACTACCTCGCCGATTTCCTTCTCTCCTTCCTCAATAATTGGCAAACCTGTAATTTCATGATGTTCCTTCGGACGATGACAAGATATTCACGACTTTAAAATTAATCAGAGAAATGTCTTCGATGATTTATTAGAAAAATCATTGCACGATTTACTACACCTTCTTAGGATGCGCAATTCAAAAGTGAAATTAGTTCAAATTCAATTAAACCGTCGTCTCGAGTTAATTGCTGTCGTAAAGTTAATGGTTGGCACGTTTGATATACTTTGGTGTTTGAAAATTTAATAATTGCGGCTAATTATTTTTTACTACCTACCTGTCGCCTTCGGTGATTTTTTTAAATCTAGCACCGTTTTAAAAAATAAACAAATCAAGCGGTAATTAATTAAAGATCTGTCAATATAAAATTTGTTACAAGCAAAAGTGCTTGTGTGCCAAAAGATGGTAGCTGGTGAATCTACCACAAAGGCAACAATAACGAACGTAAACACAATACCAGCATTGAAAGTTATGACAGCAAAAATATAGACGTAATTCTTATTGGTCACGTTTTGATCGGTCAAACTACCAGGAAACGCAACGTTCTCTGTAGAAAATTGAAAATATAAAAGTTAGTCGGTGCGTTTTCTCTAGCATATATCAGTTTGAGATTGGTGCCCGGCGGGTGCTTTGTTATCTATGATGTGGGTCACACGGTTGCCTCCAGACTGATCAAAGCCATGATAATTATCTGTAATGACTCTTGGACTTGATGGCTCGTTTATTTCTAAACGGTTTTTCCTCGGCGCTAACTGAAGGCACTCCGCCGTTTTATCTGTACTTGACCAAGAAAAATGATAAATTTATTCAGATTAAAAAGCCTCCACATAATGCAAGACATTTTATAATTAGAAAATTATAGGTATACGCGATATTTGTTTTAGTTGGTATAAGTAGGTAGGTATTATAAAAGATACATTAAACAGTATCGAATCAAATAAATCAAATAGATTTTGAAGTGTTAATTTCACTTCACCAAAGGTGTTAATAGGTTTTTAAAACAACACGATTTTATTTTAAAAAACTCCACCAACGAAAGTTCAAACAAAGCGCTAAAATTTAATAAATTAGTGTTTTTTTTAACCCATTAAAAATTCCAACAGGCTTGCCTATATGTCTTCTAGGTTTAAACTAAACGGACGTATTAGTCAAACAGCATGTCCTACAAATAAAATAAATGACGCGTTTGCAGGCCTTTACAGTTGCATTATTACCTACCACAACATAAATTCAAAATGATTTATTGTTCTTGTAGCGAACGTAGGTAAATGACTTAACCACACTAGTTAAATATTTTTATACTAATGGGAATAATTTGTTTTTACCCTACTAAATAACTCCATTTTTTACTATCCCTGAAAAAATTAACATAGGTATGATAAAAAATCCTGTAGATATAGACAACATCAGGTTGCTGGGTGAAAGTTAATTTAATTATTTAATAATAATTTCAACCTCGAACCATATGAAGATCAAACAGTAATTGTTATACATAATACATGTTGCATTTTAACAAGAAGTTTATTGAACCTTGGCATACAAGTATATGAGAAAAATATAATGTACAATTAATATAGAAAGTGGTGTTAAAAGGAGACTTGATCTACGTATTGGAAAAGTGGACTATTCTTCATTTCCGCGTTGAATTATACTTGTAACCACAGGGAACCACCAGGATTTTCCTTCAACCAAAAAACTGCAATAAAATCTACGATATCAATCAAGATATCCTTTGAATATTCAGCGACGCTTGTTTCCTGTTTTTGCTCTTATACCCCACTGTTACATGTTATCTGATTTGGCGTAGTTCTGCATAATTTTCGATTAAATCGTATGTACAGAATGCCGCCGACCTTTTTCCTATATTGTTCACCAGCTAATTGGAATTCCTTCAAATGAAACATCGCGAATTCCCATCCGCCAAAGCGACTGTGCTCGAAGATTCGACGTCGCGCCTCGTTGTCGCGGCCAATATTTTTCCCAGTCTATAGCCCAGACCGGCATCGATAAATTGCAGAATAAACTCGCGTTTCCTCGAATCCATTTTTACAATAAACCTTTAACCGAGACGAGTTTTTCATATTACACTCTATTTTAGGTGTTCTTCTCGTATTGTATGCTTATAATTATCACACACCTAGCGATAATTTATCTTATTCATTCCAATCACTCGCCTACAACGAAAAAGAAAGCCGATCCAAAACGGAACGTTGCGATTCTTAATTTTTCGAATTACGATATGTTACACCTTTCACAGCTAATGATGCATTACCGGCCGGTCGTTTGTTGTCCCTATTTGACGTAGGAACTTTAACGAATCATTTATTACAATTCGGATTTATGGGAGTTATGCCAATTCATACACCGATAAAGTCACGGTTAATTAACTGTTTACGGTAGCTCGTTTATTTCATAAGAAGATATATCCTTAGATAGATGATCTAGGTATTAATGTCTTGCGGTGTTTAGTAATATTAAATTCAGCTGATCCTCTTCTGTAACATGATAGGTAAGACTGTATATCTTAATAACAGGGAGAGTTTTGATGAGCGTGTAGACATCCTGAAAGTTACTAACCATTAAATATTCAAAAGAAAATGTTCCTCCTTTACATGTCATATATTCTATAATTTTTAGTCCAACCAAATGTACACAGGTATGATTTTCCCTGCATCTTCCTCCGCCTCATCTTTAACATATCTCCACGGAAAGCATACCTACCGAACCGCTCACCAGGTATATTATAGTGTTGAATTCGACGTAACATCTAACAGATGGGTTACTATAACTTACGGCTCCGTCATTAGCCGTTCCGATCGGCGGTGCTCTGTCATTTGGGCCCGACCACGACCGGATCGCCGGATCCCCGGTCTCTTTTCAGCCTCGGGCGGAGTGCCATCGCATCGCCAGGACATGAGAGCTTTCGCTGCTTCGCCAGTCGGCAGTCCGGTCTTCGACGACGTTCGCTCCGGCGCATTTTCCTCGCCTTTCGTCGCATCCGCATCGTGGGAGTCGCGCGAAGTGCAAACGTGCAAGGACCGCGGACGCACGCACGGCGGTATAATCGGGCTGAATTGGGCATCGGGAGTGCGTACGAGCCGATAGATTTTCTCGGGGAGTCCGGCTGATTCACGTGCGCGTTGCAGTTGCAGTTGCTTAGGGTGAATAAGAGTGAAAGACGGGGGGATGGACGTTGCTTTGAGGTAATTGCATTTTGTCTGCGACCACTGCGACGTGACTCGGGTTTGGGGCGTATGTGCCGGTGGTGTACTGTTAGGACTGTAAGGGAAAGGAGTTGGAGTAATAGAAAATTCTAGGTAATTTTAGATTGTTGTATTAGTGCAATTAAATTTTGTTGTGTTCATTAGATCTGAAGCACATGGAAAATTAAAAAATATCTTGAAGATTCAATTTCTATCCACATAATAACAAGTTCCGATACGTAATAATCACTTTATTTTGCACAAATTTTTATTCGAAAATCGTTCACAAATGATTCATCGACTAATTTGTTTTCAAAGTTAATTTTTAAATTTTTTACTAAGAACCTTGAGATACCTGCGAAATTGCAACTTGCAAAATCGCAAATTCATTAAAAAAAAACAAATTTTCATGATGTATCTCTATTGTATTGTAATACTGTATCCGTACTGTTAATACTTGTATCTTATAAGCTTGTTTCTGATCCTATATTTATTATTAGACGATCTTTTAAAAACACACAACATTATAAAATTATTTTAGTATCTATCTATTTGACAATAATATTATTCAAGCAAAAACTGCAATGTACCTACAGTTATCTAGATATACCGATGTCTATTGATAGCCAGAGAATACAACATTTCAACGTTTCAAACAGCAAACAGATATAATACTACTTAATAACTGCATAAGTGCAGACATTATCTACTTCGTATTGTGCTTTTTAAAAATGGAGAATTCAACACGAAGATTTAGGACACTAGAGACGTATTTGCAGCTCTTTAGGCGAATTCCCGTAATAAATCCACGAAATTTCGATAGCAGTTACGTTACAGAATAGGCGCTATTATGGCGCTATTTAGACCGTACGTTCAGACTGGATTGTTGGGGGAATAAAGCCGCCAGAACAATATTTGAGCGAATTTGTGGGGGAGAAGCTAGAATTGATGTAAAGCATCGCTTTAGTTAACTAGAGGAAATGTCTGCAGTTTTTTATACGTATAAAATTCTGCTTTCTTGGTGGAGTTTACAATTTTGTATTGTTTTTTCATCGTGTAAACTCTAGCAGAAATATTTATTTAAACGAACGTTCATCTAAAAAAACTACAAAGATTTGCTTCATTCTCCGTACCCTCAATTTATTTTATCAATTAATCATAGAATAATAGACACAAAACATTTATCTTCATTACACAAACACACGCTGTAAATTTAAATAACCTACATAGTTAATTGCAAGTTAATTTAACTAGCGTTAAATTCGGTAATAATATTTTCAATAGATCTAAAATGCATGTATCTTCAACGATTAAACATAATTCAATATTAACCGAATTTCTATATTGAAATGCGTCCTTGATGATGTAAACACCTGTAGATGCAATGAAAAAAACTTATTTAATTTATCCACACATATTCATTAGCATTAACTCGCCTTTATTTATAATTTCACGTCAATTAGATTTCACTGAAATAAGTATAAATCCTAAATTCGAGGAAAGCGTTGGTTTCCTTTTAGTTCATGCATATTTATTCGCGCTGTTATTACTGGGATTTAATGTGTACACCGGCAGAATTTTGACCTTTTGGCGTTTTCTACTAAGCAAACAGAAAATATTTCACAATTCCGTGAGAACAACAATTTGTCAGGCCTTGGCGATTTTTGACACCTTACCTATTGTTTCCAAGTCCAAGTTTAGTATTTAAATTTTCGCCTTCCTGGTGGATCCTCATCACTTAATTTAGCTTTTTTAAGTGAATGTTCTTTAATTACGATTTTATTTCCACTGTGAAGAATCCTCTTCCTGGACATTTGTTTTTGTTTCTAACTTAATTAGATTGCGGAATTGCATCAGATTGTTACGTGAAAATCCACAAAAAAGGAAAAGTTTATAGCAACATATAAGTTATACTGAGTTACTCGACTAAAGATCTAAATAATTTGCTGAGAACAAGAAGCACGATTTCTCTTAGTTTAACAATGTAATGATATCGTTTTAAAAATAATTGGTGCTGAAATTAGAAAAAAAAAACATATTTAATTATATATTAATAAAACGCTTGATTACAGCAGCGTTCACTTCTGAAATAGTGAAAAGAAATGCCTAGCAAATTCTTATTGAAACATCTTTTAGGAACTCGCGATTTAATTAAAGATATAATAGCGATATTAAAATATTTGTTTTAGAAATTCTTATGTCTCACCACACATAACTCTTTAGTAAATATATTTTTGATTCATTCGATTGCCAGGTTAAAAATTAATAATAAAAAAACCACGGACCGAATTACAGTTTTCCGCACCTTCGACTATAAAAACCGCCCATAAACCGATCCAAATTTATGCGTTTAATAATAGCGATCAATAAAAATTCAACCGCGCTTCAAATTTTTAACGCCTAATAAAGAGGCTTTCGACTACAAGTTCACCAACCTCGGATTATTTTTGTAGCAGCTACCGAAGTTTTCGTGATCATCTAAAATTTAATTACATATCTGGAGTGGATTGTAGAAGACCAAAGACCAGAAGCGTACGGCACGCGGCTATTCTTCACCACGAGCACGTTATGAAACTGATAGGTACTTCATTCAGTGGGCCATAAAATTTGGTAATTTACTATTAGTGCATCAAGACATTTTTATATTTAGATTAATCGAAACTTATAGTGTGATACATGAAGAGTCAAATGTACATTTGATGGCTAAGTCAATTTTAGAATGTTTTGACCTGTAGAATGTGTTTTTTTTATGAATCACCCTATACTAAACAAGTTCCAGATATTCGACTAATGGATTTTAGATCTAAATAATGGTTATTGGATTTCTAACAATTTTCCTCATCGGAGCGTTCATGAGTGCATTTATTTTAATAGCCGTAAAATCCCCTTTGATACGGGCACTTTGAGCAACGAGCATAAAATACGATAATACAACCGAATTGTTTCAATTAAGCGTTCGCTAAACGTTTTTAATCGAAACTATAGGAGAATAATTTCCGAGTAAGGATAAAGTGAAAACTCCGACGGCTGTCGTTGTTTCGATTCGATTTGGTAAATGAAATTTTATTAAATCGCAATGAATCCGCATGAAAGGAAATGTATAAAAAAACCGAAGGTGTTTGTCGATCAATTCGAAGAAAAACGTAATTGAAAAGTAAGAAGTTGTTTATCTATAATTAAGCGGTGGCAAAAAAATTTGCTATTTATTTAATGAGATTACATAGTTTTCTCTTTTAAATATTTTAGCCAAGTTTTTAATAGTAGATAATTTGTTTGGATTGCGTACCTACTCCTACAGAACTATATAAACTGTAAAAATACTGATGAATTAGTTATAAATTCAGATATTCCTGATTTGGTTTAATAGATAGATAAAATGAGGTCAAAACATTTCTTATCTTAATTAAATTAGATTTTTAATTAATTAGTGTATTAAAGAATTTTTGAAAGCTTTAACTGGCAATGAAAATAGTTTTACGCTATTTGTGCGTACTAATTTGTGACATTAAATTGGGAAAGTTTCTAATAAAAATAATTATTGTTTAATTTGTCCTTACAGATTTTTTTTTTACCAGCATTTACATAACGGTTCAAAGTAGTTTATATGTTGCTACAAACACAATTATTAAGATTCAAATTATCTTAATAACATTTTCATGTTAGGCATCGAAACTACATGCTTTGATTAAGACTACAAAGCTAAATATAATTAACATGTGTTACGTGAGTAAAATTACTAGTTTAATTAATTACTTTTATCTAAGTACCTAATAATTACATTTAATTTTTTATATCCGTCGATGGATACATAAAAACACTTTATCCTCAAGTTTTTGTCATAATTGATTATAAATGAACCGTGATTGTTTGTAAAAACAACAATTTCATCCTCAAATTGCCAATTTGCCAGCTTTAATGAATTTCCTTGTGTGAAATACCAGTAATAACTGTACGGGAAATGCGAAATTAAGTATACAACAAAGTGTTTCCTTATACACTGTTGGAAATTAAATTTCGCATAATAGGGAAATCAATGTTAAATTCTTAGCCGGCTAAAATCCAGTCTACCAGTATACATTTCAATAGAACGTCGCGATTAATTCTAATAAATTTAATTGTTCTACTGGATCGCACGCCGCGATTTGTAGAGGTACAAAGTTATTTGTGTTAGGTATGAGGTACAAAATTATTTAGAAACTACAATTAATAGGTTTTTTGGGGATATTTCAAAAAAATGTGTGTATCGGTAGGTACAGTTATGAAATAGCAACAAATCTTGTTAAAATAAGGAAAATTAAGGAAAAAATAATTCAATTTTCTGCTAAAATTACACCTCAGCTCAGTAATATGAGATGAAATCTGTATGACAGGTTTGCCTATAGTTTAGCAGAAAGCGGTGGACTATTTTTTAGAGTTCTTTTATTTTCTGTTTTAAAATAATCTTTAAGTTTATTTTTGGAGTTTTCTTTTTATTATTTTCTTAGAATTTACTTTCTTTTTCAAGCCATTGTGGCAAAAAGACATATCTACATAATTCTATTTTATTATTAGTGATATTTTTTCAATAAATTATCGTTTAAAAATTCTCATTTCTTTTTAATCGACTCGACGTTCACCCATCCGAACCCGTTTTGATACTGTCGAAGTGTCGAAACCGTCGAAATTATTTGATTTTTAATCTAACCAAGCCAAAGCGCGGTGCGAAGTCCAGTAGAACAATTAAATTTATTAGAATTTACCGCGACGTTCTATTTAAATGTACACTGGTAGACTGTATTTCAGCCGGCTAAGAATTTAACATTGATTTCCCTATTATGCGCGAATAATTTTCCAACACGGTATGTAGGTAAATTTCAAAAACGTTATGATTCACAAGAAACTGTTAAAGAATGAAAAATCTGTAGAGATATCGAAAGAGATTACATGCAGAATTATTAATAGTACAAACTGTAAGATACATTTATCTTTCTCTTCCAAACTAAGCGATCTTATATATTCATTTCTATTTCATTCGAACGAATAACGAATGTAACGTTACGTTCGACTATGTAAAACACTAACGAATTAATATTAATCCGCAATATTATAATCAATCCAAGTGGAACACCTGGTTTGCTATAAGAGTTCGCTTGAATCACGAGATAACCTAATCTCACCACTCGATTTTATTATATTTAACAGTTACATGAAATTGTTCTTGTATAGAAACAATTTTGGAATCGTGATTCGATTCGATCAACTTTTAAGTGAATCCGAATGGATTTAGCATTATTCGAATATCATCGACAGACTCTTTAAAAACGGCCACGAGAATTTGGACCACGCAACAATGGCACCTCTAATAGCGCTTTGTTGTATTTATAGATCAAAGATATTTAAGATATGTAAGATATTCAGCGTAAGTAATACGTAATTTTAAAATTACATCAATACCGATGAGCACCGGACCGAGATGAAACTGTTTACGTTACAGTTTTGAGTTACGGAAACCATCAGAATGCGCTAAATACCCGAGGAGAAAATTACACACATACGGGAGCATCCTACTCATTCTTGTATCAGATCGGCTGTGGTCGTGTACTTGCGACTTTGAAATATGGTACTTACCGCCGAGAAATTATATTTTCATAATTTCTCTCGGCCACACAACATATTTGTAGGAATATACGTGTAATTAATCAACGACCAGACAACCGAAATCAAGTCGAGAACAATGGCTCGAATCGATTTTCTTTTCGTTTCTTCGGGTTTAATAATACCCTGTCGGTTTCGATTTCGTTGGTGTTTAGAAACAAACGCCGAATATTTGAATGAAGGTGAAATTTTTAATGATAAATAATACGATACTGTTAATGAAGGCATAAACGAATCTGGTAAACGCCCATCAGCATTTATCAAAACGACGGCTGCACTTTATTATTCGTGCATGATTAATATCGAAGTCTCTAATTTTTTGTACATTAAGAAATATAGTTATTTACAGTTAACTGTAGCAAATCCTATTACTCAATAGAAAGTATATGAATGAAGTACATACATTGTCAATAAAATTACACACTTTTAGTAATATTGCAAGATCAAGCTAAGTAGCGTGTATTCATAATAAACTATTAAATATCGTGTATAGCGAAATTCGCATTCACATCGCAATCGGGCGTTTAATTACAATAAAATCACAATATACAATTACGATCGGGTATTTTTTTTATCCGATAGTACTATCGAGTTAATTAGATTTCCAATTGAAACAGATACGCCGCATCGCGTCGCATTCGAAGCGCACCTCTCAATTAACCCATAGGAAGTTGTAATATCATCTGTTCTGACAGCGAACGAACTCGCTGATTTGTTGGAAATGCGACCTATACCAATGGCCTTCAAGGAGACGGCCGCATAAAGGAGAAATTACTCTAAAAACACGATCATTACGAATTCTCATCTTACTTTCTAATGTGGGGGAGTAGACTAGCGAGTTTAATGCGACTTACAGGAGGATTCAAAGGCCATCGGCTTCCCAACCGTTTGCTACAAATTAACTTAAATGCACTATTTCATTTCAATAGGGCCTAAAATTTAATTTTAGTACCTACCTATTATTATAACAAATATTGGAATACAATATTTGAAACAAATCCTGAAGCTACATCTAATATCCACATAATAGGAAATAATTAATTAATCAAACAATGAACGAGTCAAAATCTTTTTATAGTAAATTTACTTAAAGTTACCTAT